TCATAGATATAAAGATATGATCAAGGATAGATAGATAGATAGATAGATAGATAGATAGATAGATAGATAGATAGATAGATATGAACAGACCGTGGAGGTGTGGATAGATATGAAGAGATTATATATATATATATATATATATATATATATATATATAGGCGAAATCGCTGGGATAAAATAATATTCTGACATTGGTTATATAAGTTATCATCTGAAAAGAAAAAGAATTATTAGATATCATGAGAAATTGCATAAAATCTCAATCAAAGCACCTTGTCTATCTCATCCAATGTAATGCGCATGAAAGAACGATGGCAGCCTAAATGCACAAATTATATATATATATATATATATATATATATATATATATATATATATATTTAAGCACGACATCCCACGTAAATGCGCATACTCACACGTACAGTCTTACGTATAAAACATATAGCACGCACAAAGATGCAGAAAAATCAACCTAACACGAAGACGAATCCCATACATAGTTTTTTAGCTTAACATAAAAATAACGAAAATGTGAAAATTTTCAAAGAATTGCGATTAGAGTTGCTGAATATAACATAAATGATTTAAGTAACAATTTTTTTTTATTTCTATTTATCATATATATATATATATATATATATATATATATATATATATATATATATATATATATGGTGGGGGCGCGTGGCCGAGTAGTTAGAACGTTCGCTTGCACGATCTGGAATGGGGCGATCAGCATGCGGCACCTTTAGAAAATGCCTAAAAAATGCCTGAAAGCCTTTGTTGAAGTAGACGGGACACTTGGGGGCCGTCGATAGCTGTACCAAAAAGAAGACACAAAGTCTTGTTCAGATTGTTGATAAGACTAGATAATAGGCTCACTCCCAGGTGAGCACTGTGCGTGTTGAACAAACAAGGGATTGGATAGACGCCCTAATAGAAAATTATATATATATATATATATATATATATATATATATATATATATATATATATGGTTTTCTTTTTGTGTGTCTTTCATTAAAGACAATGTACATCGATCAAGCTCTTTATTTTATTTTTCTTGTGTTCCTATACATGGACATAAATATTGTAAAAGTTATACAAATATTTTGTATATATTAGCCATTACTTGGGTTGTTTTTTTTAAATAACTTTTTCTAAAGAGAGAGTGATGAGAATGTGTTTCCAAACATTATAAAACCATGCACAACTCCAGTCGATCATAACAGAAAATTAAATCATTCATCTACTATAAACAACTTAAAACTGCTGACCTTAGGGTCAATAACATCAACTCGCAAGATCTTAATTACAGAGAACCAATATTATTATATGAATTCAAACATCTCCTAAGGAACTGCCTTTCTGATCAAACCAAATTCATGAATAATTATGTTGAACACACTACTACATCTCTATCAAGAAGACTCACATTACACCTTATCTGACCACAGCTCAATAAGGACAAAGTGCGGATGTAAGATAAAATGTGGTGGAGGACGATGCAAGTGCTCTAAGGTTGGAAGAGGCTGTACACCGCTTTGCAGTTGCCCTTGTGAGATTTAGTAATACCCAGCATGTCCATATCTGGGAAAATATCTACTGGTCATATATATCTTTACAACTCTCTGCATTTGAATTTCAATAGGCTAACCTTCCAAGAACCGGCGACAAAAGTCCAGCCCGAAGTTCATTCGTTGTTGTTTGCTAAATCTCACAAGGGCAACTGCAAAGCGGAGTACAGCCTGTTCTAACCTATAATGCTCCGGAAGCTCAGGAACCTTTCTTGTTCTATTGTCTGTTATTTCCGGTGAAACCTGCTCTTCTCCTCTGTTTTCCTTACTTAGGTGCTGGAACATGGAAATACTTGTAACATGGAATGACGTGCTAGCTGTGGTGGCCGTGGGATTGTGATCAATGTTGTCGACAGCGGCCGTAGTGAACAGCCCTTTACGCAGCACTGAAGGGTACACAACATCTTCTTCAACATACTGTTTTATCACAGTTTCACCAAGTTTGCCGGATATCTCTAATACATTGACATACGATAGGCTTAGTCCATGCTCATGGAATTTGTCAATAAACTCTCTTTTTCGTGTCTTGGTGTACACCATCAACCCAAGATAGACAGCAAAAGAGGCCTCACGGTCTTTAGAATGTATTTGGGTTGTCAATCCTTCTCTACATTTTGAGTAGCAGTTGAACTGTAAAAGCTGAGCAATAGCTAAGTCTGACTTCGCTATTCCGTGCGTTAGATGTGATTTTATATCAACACCATGTTCAATGCTGCACACGAACTGAAGAAGTGCAGGTGAGATAGCCTCGTCACCAAAGCCATCTTTGAGCTCACTGCTGAATTTTGTCTTGTGCTGGAGCATTTCTTTCTCAGGATATCTGCTGCCTTAGATAGATGGAGAGCATTGCTATACTGGCTAGCTTCATGGAACACTGGTCCCATGTCCGCTTTGAAGGCAAGGAGTACATCACATCCCTTCTTATGGGCTTCAAGTTCTGGAATCCGAGCAAGTAGCGGTTCCTTCAACCTGGTAGAGTTGACATTCGGGTAATCAACCCTAATCTGTTCCAAGCGAAGCTTGTAAAGTGAGGCTAGGTCTGCAAGCCGAAATACAACCGGTGCTGCTTCCGTGTTGGTGACTTTGCTATCCATGATGTAGATAACTAGTTCTGAAAAGGCCACTGGGTATAAATCTTTCCCTGGATCCACTACTCTCTGCTTTCTCTAGGGAATTGGGATACGCTCTTTCGGCATTGTACAAATTAACCTCCAGGGCAACAACGTCTCCGCCACTTAACTTTGCAAGGAGCTTTCCATCGTTCAGGGTTCTGGAACATTGATTGAGGTGTTCATTTAGTCTCTCTGTCATCCCCTCTTGCAGATTCGAAATAACATCTTCTTCACAGAAGAAACATTCCACTTTTGGAATGTCTACAGATTTTCGTCTCTTGCTTGCTCGTGACCGCTCTTCTTTGCTGTGATCTTTCTAACTTGGTGTTGTTGAACAACAATCGGCAACTCTGATGATATTTAGCTCCATTTCGAACCAGAGTGTTTTCTATACCTTCACCTTCATCAAGCCTTGAAAGGTCAAGTGCTATCGGCATATCAAATGGTACATTTCTTGCAATATTACTGTATCCAGCATAATCTTGTTTTCTCCGGAATGAACTAAGAGGTGAAATATGGGTTTCTTTGCTTTTTTCCTGCTGACAAAGGCAGCATTTGCTCCAATCAGTTTTCGATGTAGAATCTTTATCCATCATTTGACAGGAACAGCCGAGGGTTTATCCTTTTACCACCGATCGCTCACTTTGATGTATGGGATACAACTAGGTTCACGCAACTGCCCTACACCTAGCCCGATCGTTCATCCAATGCCATTTGAATCCCGTGCGATCTGTACACCATCCAGATAACTTCAGACACCCCTGTTATCCTTGGCTCGGCTCTCCCGCGTTGGCACAACCTGTCCATTCAGGTACGTCTATCTAATATTTTAGGGGCTTACTAGATAGAATTTGGGATACTAAACTCCATGTTTAGCTGACATTGAACCCCATGCTGAGTTCCACAGCAGTGTCTGTCTCCAGTGTGCCCTGGTAATGAGCGACATACACTCTCTTCATAACTCCACACCTTTCAATTTCAATGTTGTCTCCTGGAGGAACTGCCACTACTCGACATTATCAATTAACTGCCCTACTCTGTCTCCTCGATGAACTGCCACTATGAGGCACTGGCTGCCATCTTGAAGAAATGGCCGCCATGTTGAGTTTTCACAATGCCAGAACGTTTATCTGAAAACAGCTCGGTAAGGAACACTCCTGCCAAATTTCAAGTTTATATCACAATTTGTAATATGGTTTTTGAGTAAAACCATGAAACAGAGGCCCGTTTAGCGGCCATCTTGAAAAAAGGCTGCCATATTGAAATTTTTTCGTTGCTACCACTTTCACCTGAATAACCTACCTACAAGGAACATTCCTGCCAAATTTCATGTTTATATCACAATTTGCAAAATGCATGAAACAGGCCCGTTTGGCAGCCATCTTGAAAAATGGCAGCCATTTTGGATTTTTTTCTTGGCTAGAACTTTTTTCTGCAAAAGTGACCTATCAGGAACAATTATGCCAAATTACATGCTTATCTCACAATTTGCTTGATGGTTTGCATAATCTGCTCCACTTTCATAATAAAAAAAATACTCAATAACATCAACAAAGAACACGGCCACAATGTGTCGACAGTGTTTGGAAAATCAGAGATATTTCCATGAAATATATACAATTATATACACATTTAAGTAAAAATAAAAACTTTAAAAAATCATCTATATTATTGCTGAACAGAATAGCCGAATGCGCTCGGATCTACAGAATATATATATACGAACACAAGAAAAAAGAAATTAAAAGCTTAATCGCAGGACCTTGTCACTCGTCTTTAATGAAACCTGTATAAAACAGGGATCGCTGCCCACAGGTACAATCATATATATATATATATATATAAATTATGAAAGTCGAACAATTATTTTAAGACATTTTTTATTATAAAAAAACAGAGCATTTACTTAAATATTTGTATCTATAAAAATTATGCATAAACATAAAAATGTCTTAAAATCATTGTCGGACTTTGTCTATTTCATAAAATGTGACGTCATTTGTTTACATTTGGATACGCTTTGAGCAGATATGAATGAATGTGAGAGATTCATGGAAGATTTTAGTTTAAATGCAGTAAAATCGAACTTGCTAACCGAACGATCCTCTGTGGCTCAATCGGTTAAGGCACGTCGGGGACTAATATTTTCTATGAAAATTTATCGGACATTCAGGCCGGTACTGTTTATTATAAACAGAGCATTTACTTAAATATTTACTTAAATATATAAAAAAATGTATAAACATAAAAATGACTTTATATATATATATATATATATATATATATATATATATATATATATATATTATGAGTGTGTTGGTTTTGCTACCAACGAAATTGGATTTAATTAGATAACGTTTCCGTTATCGTAAACTTTGAAAAATATGCTTATTGACATCGATTGGACTGTTGTCCTCATTTTTACTTTCATAATCAAAGATTAAATAAAGGGTTCTGTTCGAAATTGATCGTATATCACCTGAAGAGGGTTGGAGTGTTCAACGGTTGAAACGTCTTGAATATGACAGTAAAGATGAGGACAACAGTTCGACCGATGTAAATTGTGTATAAAGCTGTTATTATTTACCAAGAAATGTTTCTTTGAATTTGCAATGTAGTTAATTGATGCAGACACACGCACGTGTACGCCTGGGCATCAATCCGTAATCGATTGCTTTTTTCTTCTCTCTCTTCCCACACGCTTTCTTTTTACCTCAACCCACCATCTGATTCGTTATATTCCTACCTCACTATGCTTTTATATATCATTAATTATCTCCTCCCCTTTTCTTATATTTACGTATATTTTTATGTCGTTCTACATTTATACTAATTTTCGTTCTGTCAGTTTTCTTTCTTCATCGTTCTCTCAGCCTCTTACATTATCGATCAATTTCTCTTTCTATATCGTTTTCTTCGTCTCTTTCTTTATCGTTCTATCTCTCTCTGTCTCTCATTCTCTCTTTCTTTATAGAGCATTACGTCTATTTATGCTTTTCACTGTTTCGTGCTCTTTCACTCTGTCTCTTTTTTCATTTTGTTCTCTATTTCTTTTTCTCTCTCTATAACTTTTCTGCTTACTCGTTACAGAAAATATTTTGGGCTTGTAAGGAATTAAAAACGATGCTTGCTCATTTGGTCATAGGTTTAAAAAATTTGGAGCTGAGAACTTTTCAACACTCCCTCGACCTTCATAATCAGACCCCGTTGTTTTATGATCATTTCCCTCTGTCATATTTTTCTATCTTCAGTCATTAGTCAGCAATCAATCTTTTGTTCCATTTATTATTCTTTTTGTAATCAACCCATCTTCTCTTTAACGTTTAACTACTTTGAATTTTTCTGGCCGCTCTTGACGTTTTTTTTTTATCTTTTTTTCCAGTACGCATTTCTAATCTTGTTTGAACAAATCTTATTATTTTCACTTTTTAACGTTATACATTACTTATTTTAAACATTTAGAAAAGTGGTATTATTTCATTTTAGCACGACATTTATTAAACACTTTCCAACCAATCATTGTTCGTCGTTTTATTTCATTAATGAAATCTTTTGTCTTCAGTCACCGAAAAGCAGAAATCCTTTTGCTTGTTTTTGACAGATTTAGACGAAACATTTGTACTATTTGGTTCTGAAGAGTATATTGGAAACGTTTGACGAATTTTGTGTCACATCAAAAGTTCTTTTTTTTGTTACTGACTTTTAAAAAGTTTTAACCCATTGAGAATATTCTTGGTCCCTTCTTAAGACCCGGGTTCAGTCATGTGACTACCCCTGATATATTTTACCAGTTCATACGTGGAGCGAAAAGGAGCAACCAGCAAAGTCTATTTTCGTGATTAAAAGAAAGTTTTAACCTATTTCGATGCCTTAAGATTTGATTCTAAATGTTCAACATTATTTTTTATAGTTATATAACAAAAATTCTCGATAATATTGTATATTTTTACATTAAACATGTTAACTTTTTTAAAGGACATTTTAAAAAATTACTGCAATACCAAATTTTCAAATTAAATTAAAAGTATTTAAATTCAAATTTAATGCATTAATGTTGTTGTTAATTTAAAGAAGAAATGTTGAGCTTTACATTAAAAGAGCATTTGGGTAATTAAAACAATTTAAATTAAAACATTATTAATTTAGTTTATTTCAAAATTACGAATTTTCACCTTTCCAGTCGTCAAGAGATAAAGAACGTTTTTTGAACTCTTTAAAAAATAAAAATAAAAATGTTTAAACCTCGTTACAACAGGAATTCTTAATTTACTTTCTTTTGTAATCTATAGCGGTCGTCATCGTTGCCAGGTACTTACTAACAGGGGTGAGGGTGAAAGAAGTCCTGTGAATAAGGGTATAAAGTCTGAAAGAAACACTGTTGGTAGAAGTGTATTTTATTACATTAAAATTAGTTCACATCATATTCACAGATGGTTTGGGGGAGCAAATAATTTTCCGTGGGCGCAGAAAAAGGATCTCTTTTTCCCCTCTCCACTTTGTCAATTAGCCTGCATAATGGACTGTGTACCCGGTTCTTTAGTCTCCTTGCGCCAATAGGATTTACAGTCAACGACAAAATTATTCATACACTCATCAATTTTGATTATTTTTATTCATTTCTCAGAATCTAATTCCCGTATGGTATTTTTTTTTTATATGCTAATAAGCGCAATGGTAGGAATATAAAACTCA